TATCTATCTATCTATCTATCTATCTATCTATCTATCTATCTATCTATCTATCTATCTGCAAGCGAAAGACCCCTCATGCATCATCACAAAATCTCCAGAACCGTAAAACCTACAAACTTGAAATTTGTCACGTATGTTCCTCTTGGCTTCTAGATGCTCACTAAGAAAGGAGTTTTTGGAATGACCATCAGAGCATAAGTATTTTGTATATTATTATAATTAACACATTCTGATGCTCTTCACATTCTGATGCACATTCTGAGTTCTACTCATCCTTCCCGCCTGAAAAGAAATCTCTTCCAAATGCAAAATGCAAGCAGAGGAGAGGAGTTTCCGTCTCAGTTTCGCTTTCACAGCAGCAAACAGCTTTACTACAGAACAGTTGAGTTAAGCCACGCCCAGACTCCTTGCTGTCTCCTTCTTGCCCACACAGCAAATACCTCAACTCTCTCCCGTACTGACAGGAGGCTAGCCAGATGAATGCCGATGGATGCTGGTAGGCAGAGGCAGAATTTTCCACCCTTATTTTCCTCCCCCAAAACCAAGCCCGTTCACATAGTTTCGTAGCGAAGCACGGGTATCGAGCTAGTCTTACCATATGGACCATATGCCGAGCCTTAGTCATGCTGTTCAGGATGTTGCAGCCAATGGTTATAAAAACGGTGGGGAGGTAGAGAAAGGAATAGAAGAGAACAGAGATACCAACAGTCAAGAAGTAGCAGAGGAGTCACTTCACAATTCACCTCATAAATGGAACTCGGTTCAAATGAAGAAAGATCTGGAAGAAGTACACAAAGAGACTTGCCCTAATGGATTCACTGTAAATGAGGTTGGAAAATTCCTAAGATAGTTTTTCCAAGCTTCCACGTTTTCCCCAGACAAGTATTAGAGACATCATATAGAAATCTGTCGAATTCTTGCCTCCTTGGTCTTACTGAGCTGTGCTGGGACATAGTTGGGAATTGTCCAGCTCCTATTGGTCTCTTAGATCTTCTACATGCCTGTTTCCATCGCACTTTTCTCCCCGTTGTCTATGGTTGAACACCTGGTTTGTGCAGCCTTTGTGTATATATATTAGGAATGGTTGATTTTTTTCAGTATTTTTTTTTTAAAAATTTATACACAAAAAATCCATTCCATTTCAATTGTGTGTCAGTTAGGTACATATTCCAATTACTTAACCATTATTAACAATATTCTTCTTATCAGATTTAACAACATAACAATAATCACCTTCCCATTAATATATAATATAAATGAAATCCAATAGGTTTATTACATTAGTTTCTCTTATAGCTCTATGGGTACATCTAATCCCTTTTAATTTATTCTGTTTTCTATTCATTGACAAAACGAATCCCATACCATATAAAATTCAGATTCTTCTTTTTCTTTAATTTTTTAGTGTCAGTCTATTCATTTTTGCACATTCAAATATTTTTTCAATTATTTTTCCCTCTATCGGTATCTTATCACTTTTCCAGTTTGGGGCAAATACAATTCTAGCCACTGTTAAAGCATGTATAATTAAATGAGCCATTTCTTTACTATAACCTTCTGATACCATTCCTAGTAAAAACATTTCAGGCTTCAAATCTATGTGTTGTTTA